TTTTGTTTTTGTTTCGGATTTTCAGCTTAAATTGTGTGTTCAAAACGTGGTTTTTGCACGTTTTTGGAGCCATTTTAGGCTTAAAGTTCGAAATGTAGACAAAAAACTTAGAGAGTAATATGGCAGCGTGAAGTTTCTCGCCAAAAATGGTGACTTGAAGCACATATCAGAGTAGTTCCCTTATTTTATTTATTTATTTATTTAGTAATATGAACACTCAGAAGAAATATTAAATATATATTGTAAGGGCCAGTCACAGAACTGGTGTGGCAGAATTTTTACTATTTACTGACACATAGAGCAACAAAATCTAGAAATGACAAAACTTTTAGAATTTAGAGCAGGCATTGGGAACAGAATTTAAGATCCTCAGAGATTGCATCAGATGGGAAAATGCCTAGCGCCAGCTCTCTGTATGATGGATTAAGACATATTAGATGGATCTTTTAAATTACCAGTTTTCAATTTCTTTATTAATAAATAATTTCTTTCTATAACGCTTGTTCATGTGATAAGAATAGAAGCATTTTTAATATTTTTAATGCTTGTGTCTAGTGAAAAGTAGAGAAAATAAAGGGAAGATAAATATGTTAAGAAAAAGATTCTAGTATCAAAAGTAAAACATTCAAATATGTCTTCATTTTTCATGTCGCCCAGTTCATTGTTTGAATATGCATTTATCATACTACTTAGAGAAATGGATTGCAAATGATGACTTCCAGCAGTATCACTGTTCACTCAACCTTCTGTTCTGCATCATATACCACAAGACTACTGGAAGGAATCTTCCAGAATGTAAGTAATTCCATGCAGCACCAATGTCAGGCCTGCCTAACGACTTCTGGTCATAATTTCGAACACACGTTGCAGTACATTCTTTCAATAAAATGTTTTTTTATCCCATTAAAGTGTTGCTGTTTCTGTTCTTTTTCTCTGCTTTTTGCACCATAGCTCACAACTACAGCATTTGCAACTCTGCATTCCTCTTAAGTGATGAAGTCACACAGGCAGGTTCCTGGGTATACTTCCCTACCCTGTGTATAGCAACGTAAGGAGATGTGCATAACTTTTTCTTTCGCATAGCATAATTTTAAAGTCCAAAATACAGTGAAAGTTTGTAATAAAATGTTGCAGATTGAAGTAGTAGTAATTATAGCATGAGTTCGTGAAGCAATTACAGAACTGCTTAAAAGTACGTGAAGAAGCAATTTAGCACTCAATAATTTGTAGAATTAGCAATTTAGGTAACTTGGTCTTAGATCAGTAGAGGTGTAGCTGCCCCTGCATTCCTTTGTGATTCTGAGTCGTCTCTGTACCGCCTACACACCTTGGAAGTTTGTTGGTCTTGTAGCGAATATATGTATACACAGATACACATATGTACATACATATATTAACACATCCATCCATCCAGAGCTGGATTTATATATAAGCTGTACAAGCTGTAGCTTAGGAACCCCACTTTCTTGAGGCCCACCCCCAAAAATTGTACCATATTCCATATTTAAAAAATTACTCATATCCCTTATTAAGGGCCCCATACCTCAAATAGCTTAGGATCTCGTCAAATCTAAATCCGGTCCTGCATGCATTCATACATACCTATATTTCTAATTCCAGTCCTGATAAATGAAGAATATGAATTTGATTTGCAGATTTTAAACAATCATTAAACAAACCAAGAAAATCAGGCTAAAAGAAGCATATATTGAGATAAATAAACAGAAGATACAGAAATGATGAAACACAATAAATGATATGAATTCTACAATTTTTAAAAAATTTAACTTGCCAAGCACAAAAGAGCTTTCTTGTTAAATCTCAAGGTTTCATATTTCTACCACCACTATCTCAAAAAGAATATCAAAATAATTCATTTTAAGTACCCCCACTTAACGAAATTATTACACTTAGAAACATATGCCTTGTCCAGGATTTGAACCAAAGTCTACAAGCAACTGCAGTTGGCTTTGACCAATCACAATATTATACGAGACAACGAGTTCTTTATACATTTAATATAGATTTAAAGTCACTGTTAAGACAAATGAGTATAAATAGATTTATCATATGGTTTTGCCACTCTTGCTGTGCATGATTTTTATAATAATTTTGTAACATTTATTCATGAATTTTTTAAAAATCTTTTTACAAAACCTCAAATTTATTCAACATCTTTTTATTTACTTCTTACACCTAAGCATTCCTAAATTAAACCCAAGGCACTCAATTACATGAAATAAGCAACCAAAATCGGCGATTATGCTTGATGACACCGGGAATGAATTTTAATGCGGCTATTCAATGCTTTTACTTGGTAACATACATATATAGTAGCTGGTAAAACATTTAGGAAGAAATAAGCAATATACCATATTTTAATTAACAAGTTGGTAAAAGTTTACAATTAGGTGCCCCTTGTTTCTTGGCAATTCTTTTTTTACGCCAAGATCGGCGCCAGGAAGGCACAATTTCAAGATGGCCGCTACTCGAAACCAAAATAAGAAATGTACAAATTCTGTGTCCATGCACACATCGATCTGTTTTCACTTAAAAAAACATCCTAGAATTGCACAAACTAGGCATTGCACACTGCCTTAAATTTGTCCATGTACACATCAATCTTTTTTCGGTACTCCACTTTTCCGTTTCGCCGGTGCAAATCTCACCAAGCAGACTTTCTTGGTGACAACATACCATATACCAAGTTTCTAAGAATTTTTAATTTTGAAGGCATAAGCATTTTAATATGGTTTAAAATTTTGTAAAAAGCCAATAAATTTATAAAAAGATTTTAATTTAAGAATTTATTATGCTTTCATGATTCAACACCCTAATTCGGCAGTTCATATCACATGACCCCCAAGTGATCTCACCTCACGTAAACTATGCTACAAAAATCTAATTCTCTCAGTAATTATTTACATTAATTTCAAGTTAAATCTTTAATCTGGAATACAAGTTTAAATGCAGGAATTATTTCAATTTGTACGAATAGCTTACTCAGAAATTATGTAAAACTACAGTGCTGTATTTCGCTAGTGCATTCTCATTAGAATTGATGAATTTAACCCTCGACTTTGCCTTTTCTATATTTTCACCTTTGTGTGAGCAGTGTGATTGCATCCTAATTGACTTAATTACTGCTAATGGCATTAGGGTATAAAATTTAACTATTTTTGTAAGCATTCTATGTAATTATATGCCAGTATTGAAAGAAACAACCAATTTGATAAGAAATGTGCAGAATCGCCCACTTATTCAATTGGTGTTTGAAACTTTTTACAAAAGTAAGAAGAATTGGACTTTTGTAAATTTTCTTGGACTTTTTAAGTGAAAATAGGTCAATGTGTACATGGATAAAGTCAAGGGAGTGCGCAATGCCATTTTTGTGCAATTCTGGGATGTTTTTTTTCAGTGAAATTAGGTCAATTGAATATAGTGAAAATAGGAGGATACAATTCTTAAAAACGTGCCAAGCAGTGGGCGATTCTGCACTTTCCCCAAAATGGCTACGACTTGTTTCAAAGATGAAGTGTAAAAGGTTACCAGCAAAGATATTCCATTTGGCATCAGTTGTGCCATTATTTGCAACTTTATCGCATGCGCCGGCAAAATGAAAAAGTACCCTTTTTTCATTTAAATAAAATAAGGAAACTAAAAGTTCAAACTATCATGGTAACCAGAAGTGAAATCTCACCGCCAAAATTTTAAAAAAAAATGTCACTAATCAAAGGGACACCCAATTCTTATACTAGAACCAACTAGGGTTAAACAGTTTGCTAAAAGTTTACAATTCGATGCCCCCTTGTTTCTTGGTGATTCTTTTTAGACACGAAGATCGGCGCCAGGAGGCCACAATTTCAAAATGGTCGCTAAACAAAAACCAATTTAAGAAGTCAAAGAATTGCACAAACTCTGTGTCCATGCATACATCTATCTGTTTTCACTTAAAAAAACATCCTAGAATTGCACAAACTAGGCATTGCGTACTGCCTTTTGTCCATGTACGTATCAATCTATTTTCATTTAAATAAAATCAGGACGCTAAAACAAAGTTAAAACTATCATGGTAACCAGAAGTGAAATTTCATCGCCAAAATTCAAGAAAAAAGTTGTCGCTAATCAAAGGGGCACCTAATTCTGGAGTCAACAGTTTTTGTAACATATAATTAAACAGATGTTTTATTTACTTTGGAATTTTCTCTTGCAATCATGTCATTTAAAGTACATAAATTAAACTGCAGAAAATTTATTTAAACATAATAAAGTAAATTAAAATTTTCAAAATAACTTAAAGTTGAAATACATAGCCGACATTAAATTATGTATCTATCAGCTCTTAATGATTTTATAGACAAAGGTAGTTTTTAATAATTTAATCAAAATGTACATTTCAAATGTAACATCTTAAATGCAGTGTTTATTTATACTGTACATACAATTATTAAAAAAAATGGGGAGAAAGTGCAGAATCGCCCACTGCTTGGCACATTTTTAAGAATTGCACATACTGGGTATCCATGTGCACATCGACTTAAAAAAGAATCACAGAATTGCACCAAAATGGCATTGCGCACTTCCTTGACTTTATCCACATCGACCAATTTTCACTTAGAAAGTCAAAGAAAATTGACAAAAATCCAATTCTTCTTACTCTTGTAAAAAGCGCCAATCAAATAAGTGGGCGATTCTGCACTTTAGCCAAAAATGGTAATTTTTCTTTCAATGCATTAAATTAAATGACAATACGTTTGGAAGAAAAATATCTGTTATATTTATAGATATATTTACATGAGTTTGAAGAAGGCAATATAAACAATAACCTCTTTTATTTACTTTAGAATTTCGAAAAATTCTAATAAAAATTAAAGCTTTTTAATCCACAGACATGAAAGTGAAATTCACGTAATTTTACCGTACATATACAGCACTGAATGGATAACATATTTCAATCAGTGCAAAATTAATAGCTCAATAAAAGTGTGAAATTCGCTTACTTCTTATTTCAACGTTACAGTACTTTCGATGGAAAGATGAAGCTAATATAAGTATTAATATACAATAAATATAATCTTAAAAACAGAATTACCGGCGTTCCCACAACACAATTTGTTTAATCACACAAAAATTAAACACAACACTTCTTATGACTTTATTATGAGGCCTGTGAGGCCGTATGCACTTCTTGAAAGAAATTCATTAACAGGTTTTCACTCGATAGTAAATGATGTCTATATGTAAAGGCTTATCACGCTCGGTTAGATGGATCTACCAGTATCGCTATTTCAATTACTCGAAGTCCACGTTCGATAGGGTCAGTGATAAGAAGCCCTCGAGGAAGCCAGACAGTCTCATTTTGGTCATCCAGGTAAGCAGAAATTCTTTTTAAACATTTCTGATAATGAGTTTCTATGCACAGATATATAATGTACGACGTCAAACAAGCTAAGCATCCCTCGCAGAATGTCGTAGTGCTAGTTTTCTCTGCTTCTGCATAGATCCTATTCAGAGTGTTGATCGTTTGCTCGAACAAATGCCTGTCAATCAAACCTTCAAGTTCAGGTGGAAATTTCGTTTGAAATTTGACATTCGTTCCCTCCGAATAATCTCGTTGAATAAAAACTTTCTGAACTTTTTCCCTGTGATTATTATCGGATCTGTTAGCAGCAGCCATTTAAAAAACTTAACACCGCCACATGTCACTCACTCACAATCCAAAACTGCGTCGACCTTCAGAAAAACAAGTTGGCCGATCTGAAGAGACTGCGCATGACAGTCCTCTAACGTTCTTCTTTGCAGGCTTTCATAATCTATTTTATGTACATGAGTAAATTTTGCTAAGAAACTAATACAAATTTTTAAGAGAGAATGAGAATAGTATTAAGGAATAAACAATACTTATTTATATCAAAAAGCATACAAATTATAGTGTCTCAATTATTTATTATCGTCCTATTATTTTTCCGCTAGTAATTATTGCTAAACATCTAAAAAATGATTAATTATTTAAGTTAATATTTGAAGGATGTTTCATACAATATTAACATTATTTCATACAATATTAATATTAATCAATATTTATAATTTTCCACCGGGCAATAAGGTTTATAGGTAGTAAAATTTAAATCGGTTTTTATTTTGACACGTAATTTTGAAAGATAATTTTGTTATTTTGTGTCGTAATTTATTATAATAATTTTTTTTAATTGAATTATTTATTACATTTTATACCATAGAAAAGTCCATTTACTATTACTATGTCTGGTGATGGAGAACTATTAAATACATTGTTAATACGAGAAACTTGTGGTGTTGATTTTCGTAGATCTTACCATGTAGAACCATCGCAAAGTAACTGGAAACCACCTAAAATAATTGTTAAAGAAGAAGCTAAATCATGGCAGTATTGACCACATTTTTTACGGTAGGTTGTTCATACCAGCAATCTTCAGGCTTTATTTATTAACTGTCATTTGCAAGGATTCGCATACATGATGCTCCTTTAGAGCTAAAATTCAGATTGCGTGAGAGTCGCAGCTTAAATTGCACTGGTACTTCTTAGTTCGCGGGGAGTCATAATTCCAGCCGGAGAGTACCGGAGCTTTAAATAAGAAGACTCCTGCACTTCTTTAATGTAATGGAACATCTGTCTAGAAAATTTTATTTTTAATAATAAAATTATATTCAAAATCCATTCTATTTTCTGAATGCATGCTTCTCTTTCCTTGAGAAACAAACCCTGGGATGGAGGTGGAGACTTTGAAGGAAAGAAAAGCTGCCAGGGTGCGTGCGCAATGAATTGGAAGTTGATCTGTCAGCACTATCCTTATCTTGAGGGCAGATGTTTTCATTTTATTTGGCTTATAATTCCTTTCTAAATGTAGTATTTCGTCTCAATGTATTCTGTCTTTGATATGATTTAAATCAAATTCCTCGTCATAATAATTTGCTTCCGATAGTGAAGAAAGAGACACAGAGGTTATTGAAAACGAAAAATTTCGATTAACAAATTAGTCGGTATTCTCGACACAGCAATTATAGGACTTGAACAGCAGAACTTTGTAACTGAACAAGAAATTATGTCTGTTTATAGAATTAAAGAGAAAGTACAGTCAAAAGTCATTAATTAGGACACCCAGAATCCGGAATGATCTATAATCCGGACCTCAAAGCTAAAAACTTTAGCATGCGCATAGGCGTTTATGCGTGCACATAAGACCTTTACGGCTGCGAATATACATGTGTGCATGCGCATAATACATTTACGCATGCGCGTTTAATGTATAACGGACGGTATAAGCTAAAACTATCTAATTATTTATTTCAGTTAATGTTGCAGATTGTGTTGTTCCTTAATCTTCGAATTGGATCCGGTTTATTATTTTTTGCAGACTGTTAGAGCAATTTTATAAAAGTAAACTTGAACTTCCGATTATGTCAAATAGAATTTCCGATATATATTGACTAATATGTAAAGGATCTACAAAGCGAAAGTATGTTTCGAAGTCCATTAAACAGAAAGTGGAATTGCTGCAGAAAATGGATAAAGGCACACATGTATATCCTTTGATTATCTAATCATTCCGAAATATGTTTATCAATTTCACACTGCTCTGTGGGGGGGGAGGGAAACAACACGGCACGCAATGAATTGGAAGTTGATCTGTCAGCACTATCCTTATCTTCAGGACGGATGTTTTTATTTTATTTGGCTTATAATTCTTTACTAAATGTAGTATTTCATCTCGATGTACTCCGTCTTTGATATGATTTAAATCAAATTCCTCGTCATTATAATTCGCTTCCGATAGCGAAGAAAGTGACACAGAGGTTATTGAAAACGAAAAAATTCAATTCACAAATTAGTCGGTATTCTCGACACAGCAATTATAGGACTTGAACAGCGGAACTTTGTAGTCGAACAAGAAAGTTGTCTGTTTATAGAATTAAAGAGAAAGTATTATCACATGAAACGAAGCAAATTAAACAACTTACATTGAAAGAAATGTTTAATAAAGTAAACAAATAAATATTTAGCTTTTTCTTTTGTAAAATTTTGATACCTTTAGATCATAATTGCTCTTTATTTCATAAATTATGGTTTCATATTTTTAATTTTATAATTTCTACATGCCATCTTACCAGATTTAAACTGATGATCTATAATCCGGAATCGCCGAAGTCCCGACGAGTCCGGATTAACGACTTTTGACTGTATTATCACATAAAACGAAGCAACTTAAACAACTTACATTGAAAGAAATATTTAATAAAATAAACAAATAAATATTAAGCTTTTTTTTTGTTGTTGTTGTTGTAAATTTTGATACCCTTTAGATCATAATTGTTCTTTATTTCATAAATTACGGTTTCATATTTTTATATTTATAATTTCTGCATGCCATCTTACCAGATTTAAACTGATGATCTATAATCCGGAATCGCCGAAGTCCCGACGAGCCCGGATTAACGACTTTTGACTGTATTCACTTATCTTATTTAGAAATTTGGGTACAACTCTAATATACGTCCTAATTTCACCAAATGTGGTGATATGTGTTCTGCGCTGGTTTTTGGCACGTTTGCGTGTTCTATGGCAACCCTGTTGACGTTGAAAAATCTTTCGCTGGAGCTCATTGATTCGTCTCTGGGTCTGAGAAGATGGGAGGGAAAGATAAAATGGTAGTTGTTGAATTTGAAGTTCGGCAAAAGGAAATCATTGTGGCTATCCTCCTGTTGAGGGTCGTAGTGGTATTTGGAAGTGTGGAAAGAGGGTCTGGGAGATTATTTTTAATGGCAGTGCATGATAGAAGTAGGGATTTGTGATTTTATTTATTTGTGAACTATAGTATAAATTTTCTGGATAGTGTGTCTGGCTGTCATGTAAATACGATACTGATTACGTGGCGGCATGTTAAAAGCGGTATAAAATTTATATTTCTGCTATTCGAAAACGCATTAATTCATGGTAAGTGCATTTTATTTTATCCTTGTTCTTATTTTGTAGAATGTTATGTTCATTGGTTCTTTAGTATGAATTTCTGTCGTTATTGTTGTTTTTTTTAATTGTTTGAAATTTATTTTAGTTTATTTTGTTGTTTAGTGTCTAGATTGTGCAATTCGTAGATGTTTTTTAAAGTTGAAACAGAATGCTGTGTACATGGTATTATTTGAAATTTATTGTTGTTACGTTATTTTATTAAAGCGAGGAGTGCGTAGATCGTAGATTCCTTCCTTGCCTAAATTGTGCAATTCGTAGAATTTTTTTTTAAGTTTAAACAGGATGCTGTGTACATGGTATTCTTGGAAATTTATTGTTGTTATGTTAATTTATTAAAGCGAGGTGTGCGTAGTTTGTAGATTCGTTCGTTGCCTACATTGTGCCATTTGTAGATTTTTTTTTAAGTTAAAACATGTCGCTGTGTACATGGATTCTTGTCAAATATTTTTGGTTAGAAACTTTACGTTTTTGCTATCTAAATTTTTTGTTTTTGTTTCGGATTTTTAGCTAAATTGTGTGTTCAAAACGTAGTTTTTGCATGTGTGAAAACCGCGTTTTTGGAGACATTTTAGGCTAAAAGTTTGAAATGTAGACAAAAAATTTAGATAGTAATATCGCAGTGTAAAGTTTCTCGCCAAAAAAAATTGGCGACTTGAGGGCGCATATCAGAGTAGTTCCGAAATTTGTTTGTCTTCAGTCTGTGGCACACAAAATTCCTTAACAACATCCAAAAACTTCCTAAAGTTATCTGAACTAGAATCCGTATATCGGCATTACCACATAAATTCACAAAAATAAGAGTAAAAAATATACTGTGAAGGTCCGGACTGTCCGGAAAATGGTTATAAGTAAATCTTCATTTACTTACCAGTCAATTAATGCACTTTTCCTCTTTCGTTCAAATCATACAGAAACTTCAAATTAACCTTACTACATTCAGCCAACGTATCATTTAAACAATGAAATAAATAATGCACTTCCTAAGCAACACACACCACAAAAGCCCTTGCAAAATATCCCACGATTCAAAATTTCCCGAAATAATGCAAACCATTACATCAAAATAGGGTTTCCATAACATTCAACTACTCAGGTTACCATAAATGATACAACAACTTCGCGATAATACAAGAGGTACCTCTAACCAATATTATTATTATATATAAGTTATTATATATATATATAATATTGTATTTATATAAATATTTGTAGAAGGTTAAGCTGTTGTTGTTGTGTAGAGAATGTTGGATTTCAGATGACATGAAGTTTATAATTTATGATTGTTTTCATTTAATTTTATTAATTATTATTATTATTTTTTAGCTTTGTTTCTTGCTTTGGTAATCTAATGATGTGGAATATTTAAAGTTATGAACGAAAGTCGTTTAGTGTGTTGAATTCTACAACGTTGTTTTATCATTTATTCATTTCCATTTACTGTTCTGTTTCCACATAATAATCGCTGTTCAACACTGTAAACAAAAATTTGTTATTCTGTTTACATTTAAAACTCGCTTCGCAGTACTCTGATCTGATAAGTGTATATATTTATTTACTTAATAATTATTCACAAGAATTGTTAATTCTACTATTTTATGATGAATTACATAGAGAGGACTATGTTTTTACTTGCAAAGGTGTTGGACTCTGTTTTACTCATCTAGTATTTTATCATTTCATTTTACTATTCTGTTTATATAAAATAACGGTGTTTCACTAAGTCGTTAATCCAGACTCGTCGGGACTTCGGCGATTCCGGATAATCGATTTTTCTGAATTATAGATCATCAGTTTAGTTGTGGTAAGATGGCATGTAGAAATTATAAAATTAAAAATATGAAATCGTAATTTAGGAAATAAAGCCCAATTATGATCTAAAGGGTATCAAAATGCACAAAAAAGAAAAGCTCAATATTTATTTGTTTGCTTTATTGAAACATTTAAATTTTTTCAATGTAACTTGTGTTAATTTGCTTTGTGCTTAATATGATAATACTTTGTCTTTAATTCTATGGATAACAGACAATTCTTGTTCAATTACAGAGTTCTGCTGTTCAAGTCCTATAATTGCTGTGTCGAGAATACCGACTAATTTGTCAAACGAAATTTTTTCATTTTCAATAACCTCTGTGTCACTTTCTTCACTATCGGAAGCGAATTATAATGACGAGGAATATGATTTAAATCATATCAAAGACGGAGTACATCGAGATGAAATACTACATTTAGTAAGGAATTATAAGCCAAATAAAATAAAAACATCTGCCCTGCTGAAGATAAGGATAGTGCTGACGGATCAACTTCCAATTCATTGCGCGCCACGGCGTTTCCCCCCCTCTCCCAGCCACAGAGCAGCGTGAAATTGATAAACAGATTTCGGAATGGTTAGAGAAACAAAGGATATGCCTTTATCCATTTTTTTG